CTCCCGGGTTCACGCCATTCTCCTGCCTCAGCCTCCCAAGTAGCTGGGACTACAGGCGCCCGCCACCTCGCCCGGCTAGGTTTTTGTATTTTTTAGTAGAGACGGGGTTTGTAGTTTGCTTTCTAAAGAATATTTTTCCTCCCTTTAAAAAAAAAATAAAAATTAAGGCACAATGTGAGAAGTTAGCAAGTTGCATTTTTAAATGACTCTCCAAAAAAGTATCAGAAAATGATTAGCTGTGGTTACTGAGGTAGCTCCACACTTATGAGGCAAAACTATGGTTATATCCGTGGTTTTTGCAAAAAGGAAGAGATTAAGCTAAAATGTTAAAATGCTGTGACCGCGACCTTTTTTCAAGTTCTGATCATGCCTCCCTGTGAAGTCCTTCCTGCACTTAGAAGCTGAGCAGGTTTCTGTTTCACTGTACTCACTCTGAATTCTTTTCGGGGCACCTTCCTATTCCTCAGGAATCAGCACAAAAGAGGAAACCAAATGTTCACGTTCAACGGCTTCCGTTCCCCAGAGGGACCATTGCAGCTTCTGCCACACTTCCCAGAATCCTCGTAGAGATGCACTCTGGGACTTGTAGTTCAGTTACCAGGCATGCCGCCGTGTTCTCCAACTGCAAGTTAACCATGATTGTCAAAAGCATGAACATCTAAGATCTTATTACCAAGAGAACTACTGTATCCTTGGAGAAAGTAAACTAGTATTAGATCCGTTTTTTAATTTAAAAAAGATAAAGTCATTAAGTCCACCCTCGTACACAGAAGGCATATATTATGAGGCTGGAGAGAGGATGAAGTAGGGGAGGGAATCAAATACCTTTCAACCTTAGTATATCTCTAGTTCTCTCTCTGCACACTTTAGAACTAGCTCTAAAATTTCACAAAGTTCTTCCAATTTAAAAGGATGGGACTCTGTATAGGTATGTATAGATATGTTTGAATTTATGGTAGGATTCATTTCTTGATCAGAGGAAGAGCATTCCATTTGACTGGAAGCAGTCTCCTAGCAGTGTGTCCGGAATTGGTTCATTCTGGTGGGATCTTGGTCTCGCTGACTTCAAGAATGAAGCTGCAGAGCTTTGTGGTGACTATTACAGCTCTTAAATGTGGCATGGACCCAAAGAGTGAGCAGCAGCAAGATTTATTGTGAAGAGCAACAGAACAAAGTTTCCACAGCGTGGAAGGGGACCTGAGCAGGTTGCCACTACTGTCTGGGGTGCAGCTATTATTCCCTTATTTGTCCCTGCCCACATCCTGCTGACTGGTCCATTTTACAGAATACTGATTGGTCCATTTTACAGAGTGCTGATTTGTGCATTTACAATCCTTTAGCTAGACACAGAGTGCTAATTGGTGCGTTTTTACAGAGTGCTGATTGGTGCATTTACAATCTTTTAGCTAGACACAGTGCTGATTGGCGCATTTACAATCCTTTAGTTAGACATAGAGTGCTGATTGGTGTGTTTTTACAGAGTGCTGATTGGTGCGTTTACAATCCTCTAGCTAGACAGAAAAGTTCTCCAAGTCCCCACTCGACCCAGGAAGTCCAACTGGCTTCACCTCTCAGCAGAACTACTTGGGTGCTGCTCTCTTCTCATTTTACTACTAAGGTTACTTGTCTATAAGAGAAAACACTGTTTTTTTTGAGACAGAGTCACTCTGTTGCTCAGGCTGGAGAGAAGTGGTGCAATGTTGGCTTACTGAAACCTCCTCCTCCAGGATTCAAGTGATTCTCCTGCCTCAGTCTCCCGAGTAGCTGGGATTATAGGTGCATGCCACCATGCCCGGCTAATTTTTGTATTTTCAGTAGAGCCAGAGTTTTGCCATGTTGGCCAGGCTGTTTCAAACTTCTGACCTCAAGTGATCCACTCGCCTCGGCCTCCCAAAGTGCTGGGATTACAGGTGTGAGCCACCGCACCTAGCCAAGAGAAGAAGTCCACCCATTCAACATGTGCTTAATGAGTACCCAGTGTGCCTAGGACTGTTAGAGAGATATAGAGACATAGAGGTAGGATACAGCAGGGAACAAAACATGAAAATCTCTGTCCTTGTGTAACTTACATTCTAGAAGGGGAAACAAACAAGTAAATATACAATGTGTCATGTGGCTATAAAGCTTACGAAGAAAAATAAAGCAAGGTAAGTAGAGGGATTATTTTGCTATTTTATATAGGATGGTCAGCCTCACTGTTAAGATAATATTTAAACAAAGACCCTGAAGAAGGTGATAAATAAACCAAGTTTATATCTATGGAAAGAGATTTGTAGACAGAGCAAAATGAGCATATGCAAAGGCGCTGGGGTGGGAGTGTGCCTTGCACGTTTTAGGAAAGGTTAGGAAAGAGCATGGTGATCAAAGATGAGATCGGATTAGGCCGGGCACGGTGGCTTATGCCTGTAATCCCAGCACTTTGGGAGGCTGAGGCGGGCACATCATTTGAGGTCAGGAGTTTTAGACCAGCCTGGCCAACATGGAGAAACCCTACTAAAAATACAAAAATTAAGCCAGGTGTGGTGTCGCATACCTGTAGTCCCAGCTACCTGGGAGGCTAAGGCACAAGAATCGTTTGAACCCAAGAGACAGAGGTTGCAGTGAGCTGAGATTGCGCCACTGCACTCCAGCCTGGGTGACACAACGAGACGTTGTCTCAAAAAAATAAATAAATAAATAAATAAATCAGATTGGTTCATTATCCTTAAAGAAGACACAGAAGATTGTAGGGAAACAAGATATAAAGTCAATGGATTCTAAGGAGATGGAGAAACACACTTAAGGGGAAATTGGGGCTCTAATAATTTTAAAAGTCAAAATAACTATTTTTTGTAGTAATTGTTAAGTGCTATAATAATAAAAATAGCTCAGACTGAGCATTTGCTGTGTTCCAGGCACTATGCTAAGTGTCCCACATTTGTCATTAATCCTCACATCCTATGAAATCCGCATTAAAATTTGTACTTTAGGCTGCGTGTGGTGGCACACGCCTGTAATCTCAGCACTTTGGGGTCTGAGGCGGGAAGATTGCTTGAGTTCAGGAGTTCAAGAAACCAGCCTGAGCAACATGACAAAACACCATCTCTACAAAAAATACAAAAATTAGCCGGGCATGGTGGCACAAGCCTGTGGTCACAGCTACCCAGGAGGCTGAGATAGGAAGATTGCTTGAGCCCAGGAGTGAGCCGAGAT